TCATCATCATCATCATCATCATCATCATCATCATCATCATCATCATCATCATCATCATCATCATCATCATCATCATCATCATCATCATCATCATCATTGTAAATGCATGCACAATGTCGCCTTGTCCATGCTGTTATCTAATCAGCCACCTGGGAATCCATCGCAGCGCAGCTATTAAGCGAGTGTTTGGAACCTCAGCAAGTCTCCACTACGAAAGCCTTTCGTGTTAACTGTGTCCCACGGCATTCGGAGAGCACAAGGGCCTGCATAACCATGTGAATATGCATGAGAAGTTCACTAAGGTGTAAGGACACAGGACAGCTGTTTACCGCCTAACTCTACAAACGTTCGACCTTTGCGGACACCGAGATCCAATTCCATCTCACACTATGATTTCAGCAGGGACCTACGAGTTCCCTTGGTATAATGGAGCGGAAATTTACTGGATCATCCCACTCTCATCAATAAAGCTTACGATTTTCAAAAACAAAATCACAACGACCGGAGGTGGTCATGGACACACCAAATCAATGCATGAGCCTTCTAGGGCAGACGTATATAAGTCAGTCATCACCAGAGCACGGTGCACCAATCGCAAGTCGACGATGCAGTGAAGATACACAGTGTTATGAGGTTGCACACACCCTATCTATGGGAAAACTGAGCTTTTTGGCGGTCCATTATGTGGAGTAGAGTAATGGTACTCTGCGGAACATGCTAAACAAGGGTTTTCACAATACTGTCGTTACTGCCTTGTTTAATTTCCTAGGAAATTAATGCACAAACTTGTAGTAAATCCTTCGGAACCGACCTTTTCAGGCATGGTTCGAAATTTGACATGAATATTTGAGCTGAAGTCCATCAACTTCTGCGGCATAACTGCGTAATATTCCCCAACCGCCAACAGGCAGCCAGTAGTATAAAGTTGTTAAACCAGCACTTATCGAGGACACAAGCATGCCTTACTGCAAATAAATTCACGCCCCTGTCACGATTGCGCCTGCCTCGTTGCCTGCGATGGTCGAACTGTTGCGTGCGAGTTACTGTTAAGGGTTCAAATTCGAACGTACCGAGAAGTTATCTGAACGACTGGAGTGACTTGCTCTAACACAAGATTGTGCGCACGATTAAACCGTACACTTAATGCAATGTGCACGAGCTATGATTTTATGCAGATCGTGATAGTTTGCATGCAAAACTTACCCAACATCTGACAGGACGCCCATAAACATAATCTTCGATGTTGTTTCAACTAAGTTGGGTATATTGTGGTCGTAAACTTCCTCTGCAGTTGTGAGCGCAGCATTAAAAGCACTCTCAGCAGGAGACCAAGCATGTGCCCAAGGCCAAGGCTATAACTGCAAACGACATTTCCTCCTCCTTCCCGGAATGTTTCAAGGCGCCTGTCTACCGCGCGACACGTTTGGGTGCTCTTTTGCGTACTTCTGCACTAGTTTATGCGATCAACTCAAAAAAACATTGTCTGCCGCCTCGAACCTTCTCAAGAACTACTAGGCAAAATGCTTCAATCGAAAGATAAATAGATCGCTCGTACAGCTTTCCTTATTGGGTAGGAGCTAAGGAGAACAGGCAGAAAGTCAGTAACCACAGCCCGTCAAGATTTCCTGAGTAGTAAAGAACAGACACATTTGCCTTTGCCGAGAAAACCCCGCTCAAAGACTGTGGAACACCTCGAATTCAAGGGGCAGGGAACTGATATAAATAATAATGTTTTCACAAACTATCGAATGATATCTCACGAGCCCTAAGTATTAAAAGCAGTAAACAAAACCGGCTAGTTAATAAGATGAACATCCAGAACGTAAAACGACCTGACAGCAGAGTCCGACCGCGGAGCACGCCAGCGAGGCGGGGGTTTTCCAGCCGAGTTGTTTCTGTCACGTTAAAACAAGCAATTCGGTAAAAGAAAATGGAACTAGATTGTCAAAGGTAAATTAGTCCGGTACTGCATCACAGTACCCCCCTACTAGACCGGAGGGCTACGTAATACGGCGCCGGAGGATATGCATAAGTCTAGAAGAAATGCGTAACTAAACGATCAAGGAATTGAATGTGACGGCCACTATGAGTGATATAAGCAGAAGCTACAGCTGAAGAGGGTTGAGTGCGTGCTACGATGGAGGAAGATAAGGTTGCAGTTGGATGAGGTAGGCAGGTAGGGAGAGGAAATATGAGAGACGGTGGGATAGAGCGCAAAGGAGGGGAAGGAGAAGGGAGTAGGGAAGGTGGGGAAACAGGAGATAGCGGAGGTGGAGGAACAGGGGTTAGGGGGTCAGCACCACCTTGCCCTTGAGGCAGGTGCGTTGGCTCCTCTGCGACAACAGCCTTGACCCGATTGGCACTGACCACGTCCTCTTTGTCCCAGCGAAGGATCCGGCAGACCTTGGTGCTGGGTGCGAGCACACGGAACTGTCCTTCGTATGGTGATTCCAGCAGCTGGCACACACGGTCACAACGGACGAACACATGAGCGTAGGAACCGGCGGTAAAAGTCAACCATGCCGAGGAATCACTGCAACTGACGCTAAGAGGTTGGTGGAGGGAAATCACGAACTGCTCCAACCTTGGAGGACCTGGGAGGCAAACCTTCTGAGTCAACATGATGGCCGAGGAATTCGAGCGAAGGCACGCCAAAAACACCTTGAGGGGTTGATGATGGCATCACACTTGTCAGTGCGGTCCAAAACAAAGGCAAGGTGCTCTTTGTGTTCTTCGACATTCTGGCTGGCTACCAAGAGGTTATCGATGTAGGCGCACACAAGCGGTATGTCACGTAAGACATGAGCAATGAACCTCTGAGACATTTGGGCTGCGTCACGAAGACCCAAGGGCATGTGGATGAATTCAAAGAGGCCAAAAAGTGTAGTGACTGCAGTTTTGGGGATATCCTCATGGGCAACCAGAATCTGATGAAGGGCACCCACCAGGTCAATCTTCGGGAAGACCGTTTTGTCAAAGAGGGCTCTAACGAAGTCCTGAAGATGTAGAACAAAAATGGTGGCATTACTGAGGGTACGGTTATCACCGCAGCGTCTCCAGTGGCCCGATGTCGTCTTGGTCAACATGTGTCCGGGGGACGCCCCGGGGCTTTCGGATGGCCGGATAATGCCCAGTTGCAGCATGGGCCCAAAATCTGCCTTCGCGGCCTGCAGGCGAGCAGGCGTTAGTCGTCTATGCCGAGTGAACACCAGAGAACCTGAGGTGCGTATATGGTGCAAAATGTCACGTTGAAACCCACCACTGCAAAACTGGGGGTTGATTGTGTTAGGGGTGTTTAAGGAGCATTTTTCCGGAAGGAGCTAGTAATGGCTGTATCCAAGGCAGATAAATTGCAGGAGGTAGTGAAGGGAGTTAAAACATGCACAGAGAGACCAGTTGTACGGTCGAGGAGTCGGGATCGTCGGCAGTCAACAAGGAGATCGAATTCGGCAAGAAAATTCGAGCCGAGGATTGAATGAAGGACAGCAGCAATCACAAATATCCAGAAGAACGACCGATGAAGGCTGGTGTTTGAGGTGGGGGACAGGCTGTCGAAAGTGAGAATGGGGGAGCAGTTGGTAGCTTGGAGATGAAGACTAGAGCTGGAGAAGCGACGGTCGACGGGAGTTGGGAGGATAACGCTGATTTGGGCTCCGGTGTCCACAAGGAAACGTCTAAGAGTCACACTATCGCAGACATAGAAGGTGCGACCAGAACCGGAAGAGCCAAAGAAAACGGTCGCGTCTATTCTCTGGCTGCCTGGTTTCATTGTTTCATCTTAAAAGAGCAGGGCGAGGAAAAGCGACGGTTCTTTTTACCGGAACTCGTATGATAAAAGCAAGTATCAACTGTACGAGGTCGTAAACGGGAACGACGACGGTTAGATGAGCGACTAAAGGTAAGGTGTGCAAGCTAGAGTTTTAGGGACGCCATATCTTCTGCCATGGCCGCCATCTGCGTCGCAATCTGCTAACTTGGCGTCGGTAACAAGGAAATGGAGAGCTGGGCGACAGAGGGCGGTTGGAACCGCTGCACCTCCAACATCCTGCCTGCCATCTCGGCTAGCCGTGTGACCGAGAGATCTTCTGAGCCGGATGCTAGAATGGTTTGAACATCAGCTGGTAGGCGCTCCAGGAACATTTCCCTAAAAAGCTTATCGTCGATGTGGAGCTTACCACGAAGTCCCTGCATTCTTCTAAGAAGTTCAGTGTGTTTTCGGTCACCCAAACACTTCTCGCGAATTAACTGGTGATACCGCTGGCGATCAGACACAGCAAGAAGTCGATGGGGTTCTGCCTTAAGCTGCGTGTATGGTTGGTCAACTGGGGTACTCTGGATCAATGATTGCACCTGAGAAAGAGCCTGTAATAGCAAAGCCTGAGTCAGCCTGTGGAATTTCGTAACTTCTTTGGTACTGTTCGCAGAGCAGAAACTTGACTCAATGTGAAGGAAGTAGAGTTCAGGTGCACTCGTCCAGAGATATGGCACAGACAGTGTTACAGCACTAGTAGAATCGCCTCCACTGTCTGGAGCGCCCGTCATAACTGTGGCCACGACAAGCGTTGGCTGAAAGTACGCACGAGGAAAGAACGGATATGGCACCGCACAACGGTTGACCGGCTATTGTCGGCGAATGAAAACGCGTGAAAAGGCGGCGCGCGTTCTCGTTCAGGGGTCACCACTTTAGCGGGTCTAGTCAACCGATAACGCTATCCCACGCTAGATCAAGTCGAGAAAAGCCAAGCGAAACAAACACAGAAGAACGGACTTAACTGTCAACGCCGCCCAATGAAGAACAAAAGCAGTGGGTGGAAAGTCAGTTAGTTAAAGCGAAACTCACGCCATTTGGAATGTCCGCACAACCCTTAAAAAACGCCAACTTAAACAAAAGTGAGTAAATGCAAGTTTAGGAAATGCTTAAAAAATACAATAACTATAAAAAGTTGTGTGTAAACGAAAATAGGGCAAAGGGCTACCACAACTTCTTAATATGTGATCGCCGCCTTGGTCCACATTCAAAACGATGTCAAGATTGAGGTTGTGTCCCATCCGCAAAAAATAGGTTGCTAACACCAACTTTTGTCTGAACTTCGAGCAACTTACCTCCATTCATGTATTCGAGTTCGTAACTGTCAACAGGTTTATTTGGCATAGTTGTCTTCCTCGCGGTGGGTAACAACTGGTATCTGGTTCGGGATTTGATCGCTTGACCACATCACTGGACAGGGGTTTTTGTGTCAGGCCAGTGGAAGCCCACAATTCGAAGGGGCGAGGTGGATCTTGTTACCATCTCTCAGACTCCCACCACATAGGGCGAGCTCTTCCATGACCTCGGTTGATTGGACGCTCAGTTGGGTGAGCATGCTAAGCACGGAGAATTTTGGCGTAGCAAGACTACAACTTACTTGTTATGGTTCAAATGGGAGTTGCCACATTAGTCAAATATCAGGGAACGCTATCATGCATAATTCATATTAATTAACTTCGTTTTCTTCCTCCGAGCTGCAGGTAACAGCGGACTTGTTTGAGGCATATCTTCCACACCGGGTGCCCGTCGAATCCCATCGTATTGTTTGGCGATTTTTACGGGTTTGTCTTCAAAATATGTGTGCCCATGGAAGGCTGAATACGAGAAAATGTTCGTCTCCAGGAAGAGGGTCCTGGAACCATGGAAGGGTCTGCCTGCGGCAATCGAGATATCTAAATCTGTAGGAACCTGAAAAATGACAATGAAGGAAAATTCTTTATCATAGAACATATTTTGTTACCAGAAAACCGCGACAACTCTTATTTTTTATTTTCGGGAAATCGAGTCAGTGCTTTCAGTTCGAACGTCACTCCGTTCTCAAAACTGAATGAAACCTTGGCCAATTCCGATGCGGCGTCCTTACTCAGACCTATTCCACCGAATTTGGTGCGTGAAGTCTTGCATAAGAAAGCTGAGGAGGAGGGCGACAAGATTCAGCGTCCACTCAACATTGAGCACATTGTGAAACTGTTCGAATTTGGCTAGAACTCATACCTCACCTTTATTGGAGAGACCTGTGACGATACTAAGGAAAATCCAATGAGATCCTTGGACTCCAGTTTAATGCGGAGTTGATTTAATAGGGGCATTAGAAATATGCCTTCCTCCAGTAGACGCTGTTTTTATTGTCAGAAAGAGCATGCTACAAAATTTCCCTAATCGGCTCAACTCTATTCCCGGTCACACAATCCAAGAGGGAGAAAACAAAAGAGCAGCAGTTACCCTTCCTTCGTGTGCTCGGCAGTCAAAGTCCCGAGGGCGAAATAAAAAAGATGGCCTACAGGAAAGTAACGAATACAACATAGGTTCTCAGTTTTCATAAAAACCATCCGGTGGTTTACAAAAGAGGCTGTGTGAAACGGATTCAGGCACATTGAAATAACGCGGAAGAAAACGCACGTGTGATCCATTATTTCCGCCATCAATTTATGCAGAAAGGGCATCCGAAAGTGTTCATAAGTCGATGACTACGTTTTGTCATCGGAGGATCCATCCGGAAATGGCGCCTATGGTATGTCCCGCTCTGGCATATACCTAGGACGTGTCAGAGGCGACCGAGTGCATGGCTGTGGGACTAGGTGTCGGACATGCCCACCGGCCCAAAGCTATTACACGCAGCAGGGTCATGAAAATCAAGGACCGATTGAATCGCAGTAAGTATTCGGATGTACTGGATCGCATCCTGTGCCTAAGCTGTCCTTGTAATTACATATGTTAGACTAAACGCCTACTCTAATCGCGCACATACGAACATAATCTGTCTGTATGACGAAGTGATGGATTATTACGAGTGGCTGTCGGCACCTATATAAGGCAGCCACGAAGATAATCGTCAGGACAAAGTAGGAATCTACTGAAGCCTGGGCTTCAGGTGGGAACTCAGCCGGCCGATGTGTCGATCTGGCGCCGGTATACAGGGTCCTGCACGGTCACCTCCACACTGACGTCACTGGTGTTCGATTGGCTTGTACCACCTATAAATGTTGCTTGTTCTGTTGCCGTTTTTGTCTCTGAGGATGGACTCCTGTATGAGTTAGGAAGCTCATACAAATAAAATGGTCCTGGCGATCGAACAGCCTTTTTGTTCTTGTTCTTCCTCTTCTTCCCCATTTATACATACCAATGAGATGCGGACATTCGAGTCAATTCGTGGATACTTTATCTTAATAATCCTTTTCCCAAAGTGTTTCGGAACTCTATTGTCTTCGAAAACCTGATTTTTGCCAATCAAACGTAAGATATTAGCGTTTGGAATCTAAAACCAACATGTAGTCTAATTCAAAGAAGGTGGATCCTATAATTGAAATGGAAGTTATTGCTTTCTAATTTCCTTCGAAATTAACTGCGAACTTGGAGTGGATCAGTATTTTTAGGGTCTATAGGTTCAGACCGAAGTTTTTTATGGGTGAATACTCGGGCCGAAGTTCATCACCTACAGCGAGTAACCGTGTAGCATTTATTCGCTGCCGACAGGCAGCTATTAGTATAGTTTAAGACGAAGGGATACCATACCAGCGGCACAGTTATTAGTCAAAAGCTCA